TTTTCATCCAATATTTCACATCCCCCCGGACGTGCCACAGATCATCGCCAAAAGTAAAGCTACGTTCAGTGATCTAAGTAAAAGCGAAGATATTCCAATGCTAGCACAACTGCGCTTAAAATACAGCACTGGACGAAGACCTTGGCCGAAAAGTCAGGTGTGGGGATTAAGCTTTTGCCTTATTAAAGTCAGAGTGCATGAGGTGATCACCTGAATTTCCAGAAAGAGATATTTCATTTTCGATCTTTAACGTTGTCGTCTTTTAAGAGGTTCATTCATCAAGACCCTGTGTGTGTGTGAGTATGAGAGTGAGTGAGTGAGTGAGTGACCCACTTAAGTTAACAACCACCGGGGCACATACGTGCACACAGAATTTTGTTGGCGAAACTTGTTGGAAATGGTCAGCTGGGAGAGCGAGGAGATGGGGAGTAACATTACGACTTGCCTCAAAAAGAAAAGTTTGTGATGACAGGAGGAGGTACATGGAAGTGGCTCGGTTCCGTGTTCATTGACTGACGTTCGCATATTTTTTGTTCACTCTGAAGACGTCTCTTTTGTATTGATTTGTGAGAACCTGCTCTCTGGCGAGGGAAGGTGTCAGTATGTCTGTTCTGTGCAACATTTTTAGAAGCCATGATGACTATTTAAGTACTGTGCCCAGTTAAATCGGAACAGATCGTGAAACGCCAACAAGAAAGGTGATTGATTGCATTGCTGGTGTAAGGATCGCCAGCCGTTGTTATGGGTATAATGCGCGCTAGACAGAATTAATTACCCTTTCACAGACCCTATAAAACCAGTAAGAATTAAATGTTTTAACTGTAAAAACTGTCAACATAAATGTCTGTTATTACGCCCATTGGGATATTGTACGTTTAGAAATATCTGATGCAGAATCTCGCATTCCGAAACTTCATCTTTGTGTTATAATAAGCTGGCACTTGCACCCACGGTTGTAAAGAAGTTGTAGAAATTATTAAAATAAATGTAATTTTGATTTGTTCCTGAAGTATCTGAAATGTTTCTTATGAGTCAGCCTAGTTTTGTCATCGACAATTTCTAGACTAACTTTCTTACTGGCGTCTAATACAGAATTTTTTTTAGAGGTGATAACCAAGAAACAATAACAAAATACAACAGAAAACACTGCCTTATTCCTGCAACCTGATAATTTTGTCACCAAAAGATCAACAGATCATATGAATAATAACGTCGTATAGACTGCGCTCCGAGCCAAACTCGTTTTTCGGACCAAAAGAAAAAGCCTCAACAGCCAAGAAATATTCTCCACAGCATTTACACACAGACCTTTTTCTATCGTGCTTAGTTTCCGAGCTACAGAATCCCAGATCCATGATAGTTTTGCAGGGTTGTGGCATTTGTTACTGTAAATTCTCGACAAAACAACAACTTTGGCTTTAGAGCCGTTCTTTTATCGTCCATAAATTTCCGAGCTACAGAAATCACCCTCACCAGGACTCCAACCCATACTTTTTCGGAGCTTTGACCTTTCTAAAATCTCTTACTGATTCCAAGGCATAAGTATGCCAAGCTTGGGGTGTAGTGGCATATCTCTTTTCGAGCTAAAAGAGAACATACATGCGCACACACGCGCGTTCGAAATTTGTTTTTCAGACTTATAATTCATTTTCAACAAAATTATCGTATTTCCATACTCAGTATCTGAATGGTTATTTAGCGACGCGTTCTCAACTTCACAGGTTACATTCCAATGAATGGAATTATGAATACGAATTATGCTTGATCTGTTGTAAGGTAATATCTAGTAACAGCTTGTAGGAGCTGAGGAAAATTGTGAACAACCTTAGAGAGATGGCTTGTCTCCGAGTAAACAACCGAGGCTATAATTTCTGCAGTTCGATGAGCATCGATACATAATCATCAATTATAATTCCAATATACTAAAATGGCAGTTATACTATAGGAAATTTATTACAACATTTTTGCAAACTACCCAGTGTGTTGAAGTCCGAAGTCCTGAGGATTATTGAGTAAGTGATAAGTAAGATATTTGATGCTTCGTACTCACCAAGCACCGCCCCTCAGATGGTCGACAGATCTGACCAGCCAGCACGATCACAATCTCGTTTGGAGCTTTATTTCCGTTCCGGATCCTCGCTGGAATCAGAGTAGTAGTAGTTCAGTTCTTACTGTGATTCTCGTTGTCGCTAAACATTTTTGTGGCATGAAAATTAATCTTGTATTGATGAAAACATTTTTACAGGCGGTGCATAAATCAGTGTTCTATAAAATCAACTTCGAATTATTTTGAAAACAGATAGTGTAAGGGAGAAATTCAATAACTTGGAATAAACATATTTCCAAATCAATTTTCTATTTGCTATGTTCAACATCTCGTTAGCACTGATGTACATTTATTACAGACACAAAACGACTCTACATGTTATCACAAAATTACAAATTATATTCTTCGTATTTCGCCGCACAACATTTTGAAATTAAAG